AAGACTTGTTTGATGATATGGTTTATTCTAGAAATGTTCCATCTATGCTTGAGTAGAATGTATATCTGCTGTTGTTGGACAGAATGTTTTGTGTATGTTTGTTAGCCTCATTTTGTCTAGTGTTGTTTAAATCGACTGTTTTCTTACTGATTCTCTGTCTGGATGGTCTATCCATTGTTAAGAGTGATAGATTAAAGTGCTCAATTATTATTGCAATGCTGTTATTTTTGTTTTTAGTTCTGTTAATTTTTGCTTTATATACTTAGTTGCTCCAATAATGGGCACATAAATATTTACAATTGTAACATCTTCTTGATGTATTGACTTCTTTATGACTATATAATAAGACTTTTAATTTCTTTTTCTATTTTTACCTTAAAGTCTATTTTGTCTGATGTAAGTATAGTAATGTTGCTTTTTTTTACCATTTGCTTGAAATAATTTTTTTTTAAATTCTTTCACTTTCAGGCTATGTGTGTATTTAAAGATGATGTGAGTATCTTGCAGGCAGTATATTGTTGGATCTTGTTTATTTTTATTTTTTTAATTGTTTACCATTCAGCTAATTTGTGTTTTGATTGAGATTTCATTCTACTTTAAAATAATGATTGATTGGTAAGGATTTTACATTGATGCTATAGGCTTTTTTTCCTGGTTGTTTTGTTCATCCATTGTTCCTTGTTCCTTATGCAGCAGTCCTTTTTGGGTGTTTTGATGTCTTTTGCTAACAGTACGCTTTGGCTTCTTTATTATATTTCATTTTGTAATTACTACAGAGTTTCCATTGTTGTTATCATTAAGTTTACATAAAATATCTTAAACTTATAACATCCTGTTTTAAATTGATAATAACTTCTACAACATTAGTGTACTTATCATGTATTTCTCCTCTGTCTCCTCATATTTTAGGTTCTTTCTATTAAAATTTACAAGATTTTTATATGTATAACTAAAAAATTATTATATTTATTATGGTGACTCTTGCTATATTCATTTAAAAATTTTTTAAACTAGAGTTATGAGTTATACTCCACTATTATCATATTGTATAATTTAACTATAACTATATATTTACCATTAACAGTGAGATTTACACTTCTGTTTTATGATTTTATGATGTTAATTAACATTTTTTATCTTCCACTCAAATAACTCCCTTTACCATTTCATGTAAGACAAGTCAGGTAGCAATGAACTCCCTCAGCTTTTGTTAAGAAGAAAGTCTTTATTCTTTTTTTTTTTCATTTTTAAAGCTCAGCTTCACTGGCTATAGAATTCTTGGCTGACAGTTATTTTCTTTTAATATTTTGAACATGTTATCTCATCCTTTTTTGGCCTGAAAAGTTTCTGTTGAGAAATTTGCCACTAATCTTATGGGGGTTCTCTTGAATCTAACTTCTTTCTTTTCTCTTTCTGCTATTAAAATTCTTTGTCTTTGACATTTGATTATTTAATTATAATATGTCTCAGTGTAGCCCTATTTGGGTTTAACCTGTTTTCAGATGCTTTGAGCCTCATGGATTTGGGTGTCCATTTCTTTCCTCAAGTTCAAGAAATTTTCGGCCATGAATTGTTTTAAATAAAATATATTTTCTGTCCCTTTCTCTTTCTTTTCTCCTTCTGGAAATCTCAGAATGCAAATTTTATTTATTTTTATTGTATCCCATAATTCCTGTATGCTTTCCTTATTCTCATTTCTTTATCTTTTTGCTCCTCTAAATGGGTAATTTTCAAGGCCTTATCCTCCAGATTTCTGACTCTTTCTTCTGCATTGTCAAGTCTGTTTTTGAAAGTATAGCTTGAATTCTTCAGTGCAGTTATTGTAATTATCATCCTAGAGTTGTTTGTTTTTCTTAGTGATTGGAATTTTCTCAGCAAACTTCTCATTTTGTTTATGTATTGTTTTCTTAGTTATTTGTGTTTCTTGTATTTTACTAAAATTACCTTAAGAAGACTATTCTGAATTCTTTGTCTTAGAGTTCATAGATCTTCATTTCTTTAGGGACAGTTATTGAACTTTACTAGTTTTATTGATGGTGTCATATTTTGTCATATTTTCATGATTTATCCTAATTCCTGATTTCTTACATTGATATTTACACATCTTCCTATTCTAGACTTTACAAGTTTGCTTTGGTGGAGACAGTTCTTCATTAGTCAGCTCAGTTTGAGTTTCTGGGTGTGTCTTCTGGTAATGTCTTTGGGCAGGTGGAGTCTGCTGTTATGGTCTCTTTATAGATGGGGCAACTATTCAAAGTCTGAGGACAAGAATGGGGGATGTGTGTCACTGGCTGAGAAAAGTGTAAGACTGTCAGCTTCATTCCCTACCCAAGTGAGGATGTAGAATGGGCTCCATGATTGCCTGAATACTCTGGTCAGGGTTACTAAATGATCAAGACTGGGTAATATATTCAGTAGTAGAGCAGTGAATTAGCTCTCTCATCATGGAAGAAGGCAGAACAGGACCCAGGTCTTGTCTACACAAGTCTTGTTATTTACACAGGTCTTGTTATTGTTTGTGGACCTGAATCAGGCCTGAATATGCACTGAATTCCTTGGTCAGGTGAAGCCACTGGCTGCTGTGCATACAAGAGAAGCTATGATCTATACTTTCTGTTCAAGGACCACTGTCCCTAAGACTGTTGAAGGGAATAAGTAGTTTCCCATGTACTCCAGTTAGGTTCTGTGACTGGACAGTCGGAAGGCTGTGTTTAGCTAAAGATGGCTGCAAATCAGATTCTCTGCCCAGGCACAGTGTGAGTAGCTGCCCTAAAACCAGGAAAGCTTGTTGTTGTTTCCTCAAGCCAACCCACATCTCAGGTTCCCTGGATGAACAGGGCCACTGGCTTTGCTCTGCAAACCATCAGCTCTGTTTACCCTTCTCTCAACTCAAGCTCTACTAGGCTGCTCATTTCTCAGATGTGTTTAGCCAGCCCTTCTAGCTTCTAGTCAGATGGAACTGGAAGACATTCTCCACAGAAAGCAGAGTTATGAAGTTATGCCTCAAACACTTCCTGGGTGGCTGGGGGAGGGGCTGCTTCAGGCTACTCTCATTTTCCCAAATCTGCTGTCTGATTGGGAGGGGCTGGGAGCTTCCCGCAGTCTTGGTTATGAAATAATCCTTCTGCTTGTGCATAGCCTGGGAAGCCTTCATGCCTAACACTGGCTTTGCTTTGGGAGTGATCAGCTTTCCCTGCCCTCCTCTAGGCTCACACAGTGCAGGGCTCTACCACTTCCAGGAGCTGCCACCTCCTCTTCTGGTCAGATGGGGCTAGAAGGCACTATACTCAGCAGGTTGGTCTCTGACTCATCATCTTCCTTGAGGGTGAGCAAACTGAGCTATACGACTGGCAAAACTTCTTTTAGAATCTGAGTCATGGAATTTTAGGTAGCTTAGGTGGCTGAGAAAGGACCCAGAGCCAGAACAATCCAATTAAGGGCTTTTATTCTAGGCAGGACACTGCAATCAGGCGGGCTGGGTCCTAATGGATGGCAGCCCCAAGGGAAAGGGTAGAATGGCTTTTAAGGTGTGTGGCAGACCCGGGGGGGAGTGGGGGAGGGTGAGTCACCCTGCAGATCTGCTCCAGGTGTCCTGGGTATCTGATCTGGGAGGACTGATTCTGTAGAAAGCTCGAGGGAGAGGAGAAGGGGCAGTGAGGATTCAACCAGTTTCCAGCAGGATGCCAGTGGCTGTGTCTCAGTTGCTTCTGATATGGGGAATCTAGTGGTCAGGTATTTAGCTGGTGATGTACACCTTCTTTGCTCCAGCATAGGCGGTGCTGTTACCAAACGTGGACCCATTGCATGGGGAGCCCCAGATGCTATTACCAGAACAATGACCGCCTTTTCCCCTGGGTCCCTCTGCTGTAGGTTCGTTTGCCCACCACCCTTAAAAATTATGTCTTTTGATGGCAGAATTTGGTGAAAAGGAAAGGAAGTATTTATTCAAAAGTTTTATAGGTTTTGATTAATGGCTAAATGTCACCGTTAAATCTCAAAATCCCTTTAGAACACCCACCAACACATACAGTCCTACCTTTCCCCTTTTGCCCACTCGGGCCAGTCAGGCCAGTCAGGGGTACCATCCTTCAGAAGAAGAAGAACAGAAGTCCAGAGCTCAGCTACACAGGCCTCTCATTCCCAGAACCATCAACTGCATTGCTCTGATCTCCAGTTCTTAATTCAGAACCATGTGGCACCTTCTCATGGCCCACTATCAAGAGTCCTTTCTTCCCTTTCCTTCCCGCATGGTCTTTGCATTGTTCCCTTGAGGCAGGGAACAAACCATCTCTAAGTTCTCATGCATACACTCTGTAACCAGGAGTAGCCACCTGCATGGCTTCTACATCTTGCTTTCCTAAGCCACGTGGTCAAGGGAGCCCCCACTCTGTTCCTTGCCCAGTTATATCGTGGGTTCATGTTATACAATCCTTCTTGGTTAGCCTTGTTGATATGCAGAATAACCATCTTTTCATGTGAAGTATGGAGCCGTCCTGCTGTTATTGACATGCAAAATGACTCTCAATGGCTCTGCTCCAGGGCAGTAGGAAGCTGGCCTGTTGTTGATATTAAAAGTAACTCTCAATTGTCCTGGCCTGTTATTGACATGCAAAATGATTTTCAGTGGCCCTGCTCCTTGTCTCTCTTCCTCCCTGACAGCTTGCCTTGGTTGGGGTGAGAATATCCTATATTTTTCTTGGACACCCCAAATTCTGGACCCCATTACAAATCCCCTTTGCAGGGGGGCCTAGCTGCACCCTGTTACAGTGGCTTAGGTCCATGTCCCAGTACTTTCTAACATGGAGATCTGCACCCTGCTGCTTCCATGGTCAGAGTGTACCCCTGACTTGCTTCTGCAGATGAACCAAACACCCAGTTGGCATTGCTACGTGGACATAATAGATATGAATTCAGTTTGCCAAGATCTGTCTGCCAATTGTTGCAAGCCCCACCCCACTTTTTCTGTCACAAATTCCTAGGAGCTGGGCCCTACAAATTACCCTGCAGTCTTAACAGTGTGAGACCAGAGTACGATTTCCCACACAGTGACCCATAATGCAGGGCGATGGTCGTTGTCCCCACTTGCCTCTCTTTTTCCAATGGAGGAACTGGAGGTTTAGCTTGGTGCAGTGCTGTCCTGGGGGAGAGGCAATGCATTTGAATTATAGCCATAGCTCTTAAAGATGAGTTAAATAGGAACATCAGGCAATGGCTTTATAAAGCTCATTTTTAAAATTGGTACTTAGAGGCCGAAAATATGAAAAGATGCAAAACAAATGAACCCTAATTATATATTGCTCATTAAAACTGGACCCTGGAGAATTACTATTTAGTGACACTTCTCTTACTTCAGTTTTATTTAATTTGCATACATGAGGGAGTGAGAATTACATTTTCAAACACATATACTTAAATCTATTCTATGAATTCAAATTAACTCAAAGGAGGCTCCTCTGACTACTACAGTTTCCCAGTAATATGGCCCCTATTCAAATCATATAGATAAAGATGTTAGCATAGGCAGCTAATTACTTATAAACAAAGGGAGCAAATGGAATCAGGCATTAAGCTAGATTAACTAGGAAGGGGTAGCTTCACAGCTTCACAGATATCCGAATATCTGAATAGGCAATAAAGACTGGCTTTTTAATCTCCCTAGGAAACAACTTGCTCTTTCCCATAGATTAAATGGGGGTGCCAAGGGTAAATAGTAAGAAAGAAATTCCTCTGCTGAGATATGTACAGTAGAAACAAAAATCATATAGGGAGAAGTCTTTTTACCATGAAGCATGTGCAGTAGGAGCAAAGGGGAGGAGAAATACCTAGGAGAGGGATTGAATATAGGGAGGCACCAGCACAGCTCCAGTAGATCAACATAATAGAACACAAAATACCCTGCATCTTAACTGCGGCAAGATAGTGATGCAGCACCCAACCCCCAACCTCTTAAAAAAAAAACACAACAAAACTTTGCAGCATTGTCTTGTTAAAAGAAAAAATTCAACCCAGTGCATTTAAAGGTGTAATTGGCTTTATTAAGTAATTTATGAGTCCATCAGCAACCCACCTAGCAACTAGAAGGGCGCTTCAATGAGATTCACAAATTGGATATTTTTTGTAAGAAGGAAGGGGCAGGGGAGTTACTAACAAAAGAAAAGAAAGGGTTATTTTCATAATAGGACTTTAGAGGAAGGAAACAGCAAGGGGTGTATGTGTGTGTGTGTGTGTGTGTGTGTGTGTGTGTGTGTGTGTTTTAATCATGTGAATTGCCTCGTCTTTCTATAGGGGTTGGAGAGAGTCGACCCCTATAATTACAAATTATTTCATTGATGTTGACCCCCAAACTACAGACTGGCTGATTAAGATTGTATTTCCAGGAGGTTAAAACAGCAATTAGGTAAGGTATTAAAACCAGGTTTGGTATCACAGGCTTAAGCGATGCCCTTTGGGGCCTGTGGTTTCTCTTTAACAGTTTCCTTGGAATTCAACATTTGTCATCCAGAGCACAAATAGGGACAGAATGAGCAACGGGCTCTTTGGTAGCCACTGTGCAAGTCCAATTTTCTGCTTCTTTCTAGACTGCAAAGAGAGCTTAGGTAAGGGTTTGATGACTTTGACAAAAATGGGAGAAAATTCTGGAAATATATACAGCTGCCAAATATCTTGTACCAAGAGTAGAGAAAAACAATGAAAGGAGATAGTAAATAAAATATGATGAGATTCTGATGGCTATGTTGTACTGGAAAGAGAATATAACCTATAGACTATGAGATTACATGTTAGGAAGTGAGTTTCATAGGTGACCATAAAATATATCATCAAAACTGGGACATTAATCTGAGTGAAAAGGGATATTATTAATAATTTCTTTGGCATCTCAAATACAGAAGTTCACTTCTATGTTTGCCTACGATAGTAAAGGAGACTGTATGCTAGGATGGGACTGCTGACTAGGGGAGAGAAAACCCAGAATTCTTATAAAATGGTAGATATGATAATTTTTGCAAATATTATTTTCTGATATCTACTTATGTGGGGTCATTCTTACAGAAATATATATATATATATGCATATATTCTAAAAACTGGGAATTAAAATGAGGCTTACAGTTTCTTCTGGTTTAAGCTGAATGTGCAAAACATGAATAAATATAGAGTTTTTATTCCATTGATTCAAGCTCAGACAGAAGAGCTTGAGTGTTCATTTACTAAACCCAATTTTGACATCTAAACTATTTTCAGATGGAAGAGATACTTATTTTATAACAGATATAAATAAAACATGTATAAAAAACATTATCATATGGAAGACAATTCTGCCAAGATGAAGGAAGTCTTCAAATGGCTTCACGGAATTTTCCCATCTCTTTTTCTTTTGCAATATAACTCAGTTAATTTTCCTTTTGCAAGTCAAATTTATATTTTATACACAACCCCAAAATACATAAATCAATTTCCCCCAGTTCTATGTGATATTTAGTTCCTAGGTGACTTGAAATATCGCACCATTGGGTATTATGGCACCTAAAATTTCTATGTAGAAATGATATTCAAAATGTAAAAGCCAAGTATTACCTCTGAACTTCTGATTTTTTCTGATGTTAGTAAGGTGGACATATAAATCTTATAAATATGGATTATGATAAAACATGAAATACCTATATACATAGAATACTGTAAGAAGATATGTCATATACCAGATGAATCAAGTTAAATAGAGAAACTTTCAACCATGAGTTAGAACACTAAGGAAGTGTTTCACATACTTGAACTTTGTCACTATGATGGTCCTTAATATTGTCACCAACTTCACATTGTGACTATATTCATTTCTGTAAATTGAAATTAAATATTACTGAGGACATCTGTATCCAGCAGTATGCTGGGCATTAAGGATAAAAGACACAGTTCATGACCTAGTCAGGAGATGGCAAGCAACCAATGACAATGCAATGAAAAATACGGATCTCAATTTGCCTTTGTCAATCCAAGGAAAAAGCAAGGCAGGAGCCAGTGGGTCTATGATATATTTTATTTTATTTTGTTTACATCATTTCTCAGACTGTTACTCATAACCAGCATCTCCCTTCTCTTTTTTGTCTTCTTCATCCAGAAAAAAAAAATTTATATAACTGTAAATACTACTGATTCCCAGTTTACTGTGCTTCCACAAAACTAGATAATAGATCTTTAGGAATTTCCCTTTCAAATACATTAACTTTCTTTCTTCCTCCTCCCTTCCTTTTCTCCCTCCCTCTTACCACTAACCTTCCCTACCTTCTTTCCTTCTTCCCTCCCTCCCTCCCTTTTCTTTCACTATTTAGATTCAGAGTATCTTTATAATGCAATTAAATACATGTACAAAGCTTCATGGGATTGAAAAGCTAGTTGAGGTTCTGTCTTAAGGAAGGAGAAAGCACAGGAATGGTGGTAGAAACTAGAAGCAAGAAGCCTAACCAGAGATTCTGCTCTCAGGGGGAGTCTTCAGTGCAGTCCTTGGACAACCTTAAGGAAATTGTCTTCTGGGAATGGGAGGAGGTTATAGAATAGAGAGAGCCATAGAAAGTAAACTTGCTGGTAATATCTACATCTATCGTCCCTCATTTTTGTGTCTACCTTCCATAGAATTAGAAAGGTGTCTAATAATACACAGTGAGACAGTAAACAATAGAAATGGCTTGACATATTTGAGACCTTCCTGAGCACTTACAGGCTTAAGTTAATAACTTAGAGGATAATAAACTGAACCTGCTTAAATTTCCCCAACTCAGTCATCCCTCAGTTCTCATACGCTGTCTCCTTTCGTGAACTTTTGATAAGCTTTCTCTCTCTTACCCAATCTCAATGTAGCTAATTAAACCCTGTGTGAACTCTATGTGCATCACTGAATATATTGCTCTGTTTTGTATTTGTTTTTTGTGACAGAGATCTCAGGCTCTTTAGAAAAATATCTGTGTCTTTCTGCAAGCATTCCCAAATGGCTCTTTCATAGAGTAACACTATTGCCATTCCTTGAGGACCTGGTTTTCATGGGTCCTTGAAAAAAATATGAAGATATACTGCATCATGCCATCTAATTTAAGGAATAAATGGTAGTCACAGAGGCAGTCATTTCCTTTAAGAGAATTCTATAAGAAAATATGACTTTCTAGTAGGTCATTTTCTTAGAATATTACAAGTGTTGTTTAACTTACTCTTCTGAAGTGCTGAGAAAATGTGAAAGAGAACAAGAGTGATTTGATTACATGTAGATTTCAGAGAGGCATTCAGGAAAGGGTTAACTTTTACTGAGGAATGCATGAATTTTGAGGAAAATAAAGGTATTTATTTTACCTGTTTCCCTTGAAAGAGCCAGATGGTATGTATGAGTCCAGGGAACAGAGGATCCGTGCGGGGACAATGAGAATCAGAGTTGATTTTAGTGCCAATCATAGTGTTACTCAAACTCTTTATAAAATCACATTGTATGATACCCCCAACCTGCTTTAACTCACTGAAGTAAAAGCTTTTCAGGCAATTCTGAGTAATAGACATGGTTACAATCACTAAGATTGACACTTTTACATTTTATTTGTTACACTGACAAATAAAACTATTCAGATGCAGGAGGCAGTTCCTTTCTAGGAAGTGTCATTACCTTGGAGTTTACTAAACACCTTAGGACATTGAATCCATAAAAGATACTGAACAGGGATTTGTTGCTAGCCATTTAATCTAGCAAAAGTGGCCACAGGGGAAGGGAAAGGTAGAGTTCCTCCTGAAGCCTAAACCCAGGGACAGAACATTCAAATAGGCTGTCATTTCTTGATCTAACAAATGGTCTAATGTAGTTTATTTAGCAGTAGTACCGCCATAAAGAAGGAGCAGAACCAGATGTATAGAGTTTGAAAATTTCCTAGTGAGTTTACATTTTTATTTCCAGTCCTGTCTCCACTTTCCCTAGTTAAAGATAAAGGTGTAAAAATGTCCATCACAAGATCATATGTTATTGCTTACTGTTTCAATATGGTGGGAGAAAATTTCATATACTTGTTTCTCATTCTTTTTTTCAAGATGGAGTGTCTCATCTATTGTTTTTCTTTGTAAATCTGTTAGGTATATTTCAAGATTTGGTTTAGAAGGCAGCAAAATCTTAAAACAAAATACTATTTGATATATTTAATGGACTCAAAT